AGGGGGCATCTGGAAAGGGGTTGGCTGGCAGTTATGAAGACATTTCAGGATAGTGAACATGATATTTTAGGATCTTTTCTCACCATTTTTGGCAGTGAAATAAGACAGGAAAGAAATGACATTCTTGACACACTTACATTAACTCAACCTCTCCCACAAAAGAACATTAAAGAGGTTGAAAATCTAAAAGAGTTTACACCTTGAGGCAATCAGAAAAGAGTCATAGACAACAACTAATATACCAAAACATGGAACGACTAAGCAATTAAAACCAATTTCAAGAAGCTAAATCAAAGCTTAAAAGAAAAAGGCATTTCATGCTCACAATAAAAGTAATAAGCAAGCTAATAGAGGACGAGTAAGTCCAACAAATTTCATGTGAACAACCTCAACAATTGAAAATTAAGGTGGCTGCCATTACTTAGAGGGAAAAAAGGATTTATGTTTAAAATACCCAGAGAAAGCACATACAACATCCATATACATTAGACAATACTAACGAATAAAAAACATAGCTCAAATCATGTTCAGACGAACCTCAAATAGGCAGAGATAGAAGCAAAAGCTCAGGAACCTTCAAGTAATGGATTAGAGAAGGGGAATAAGGAAAAAACTCAGACAAGAAGGAGGGAAACATCAACGCTAAATATAAATCAACAGAGCTTCAAATCAGTATTACGACTAACTCATGGAGACGACTAAGAACACCAACTCAGACACAATAACTCAGCCACCATACACGAGCAGTGAACCGAGGAGAACAAAGACATTAAAGAGATGAAGAAAATAAACCAACAAACCATTTCAACTCATAAAAAAAATAGAACGACAACTGAAGAGTTGGAATTGAATAGAAGTTTACCTTTTCAGGGGCAGTGAACTCAGACGAGAATGAGCTAACCACGAGGAGCTTCCACCACTAAACAAAGACCTCGAGAATTCTTCGAGAATTCCAGCAACAGCGCACACGGAAAAGAAAAGGAATGTGAGGAGTATTTCTTATATAATTTTGTAGCTTTGGAATCGTCTCCTCTGTAAACTCTCACCGATTTTTCTCAAAACTTTTCAACTTTTTTCTTTGCCTTAGTAAAGAATTGTCAACTAAAAAATCTCTCCCCCTTCAACAGTAAATAAAAGCAATTATATAAAAGGGAAATTAGGTTCGGAAAAAATAGGGGGAAAGGGATCCAAAAAATCAGATTCAAGGGCCCATTTCGAATCCAAACTCAAAATTTCATTCACAATTCCGGAGAGACAACCTTTTTCTGAAATTTCACCCCATTCCCAAAGAGGTAAAAGGAAGAAACGCGTGCTGCTGCAACATTAATTGGAGAGAGACATTGAGGAAGGAGACAAGGAGGAGCAGAGTATTTTTCCGTGTTCTGCTCTTTCGTGTGCTGTTCCGTGTTCATGTCGTGAGTTGATGAACGTTGGGGCGTCATTTAGTCGCTGCTGGATTGTCATTTTGTTAAGGATGTGAAGACGTCGTGTATCGCTGCCTCTGTTGTTGTCGTTTTGCTGGAGTTAACGTGCTTTCTGTGAGTGTTTGGAACTGTTGTGCTGATGATGTTATGGGTCTCTTTAGAATTGGAAATGGGTCGGGTCGGGTGTAAGGAATTGGGCTGCTGAAAATTAAAGGGGATTGAGGGAGCGGGCTGGGAATTAAAATGTGCTTGAAAGTGGGCCAACTTGGGTCCAAAAATTGGAAGAAAAAAGTTTTTCGTGTAGTTGAAATTATAACTACAGAAAGTGGTCAAATGAGTTTTGATCGGAGAACTTTGGCCAAATCTTAAACAAGATGAATCAATACGAATTAATTAAAGAGCTTCTTACTTCTAACGACATAGAATAATTAACTTAATATACTGATGACTCAAAATATAAACTATTAATTTAGAAAAATCTAATTCAATAAAATAATTACTAAAATTAAAATCTTTTTGAGTTGGTTTTTGAAATATTTATAAAATATACTAATTATATACAAAATTATATAAAACATATATACTAATTTAAAAATTATAAAACTTGTAAAATTAACTAAAAGTAACTTGAAAAATATTTTGAACTTTATAAAGTCAATTATTTCAAATCATTTGGATTTATGAAACTCGACGATTAATGTATATTGTGGAGGTCCAAAATTGGGTGTCAACAACTGTCCCTCATTTTACTTGGATTGATGCAAGAAATTCGAGATAAATAAAATTGACTAATCCAGTTTTGGCCGACCACATCTTCATCTCTTCTAACAACGGTTTCTGGTGCGGACTTAAAGAATTATGGCCGAACTTCGGAAATGGATTTCCTACATATCTTAGGCTATATGAGAATTCAGGTCATTTGTAGTTCGATATGTTTGATTTGACACCCGATTAAGAAAAAATTCAGAAGTTATCCCGATATCTAATTATAAAGAGACCGGAACGCCCGAAAATAAGATATAAGAGAGGATGTTGGAATACAGCCGAGTTTTCGACATTGAGCCCGCCTACATATCCCTCAACTTAGGGAATCAGGCTGCTTGTAGTTCGACTCGATCGGTTGAAAGGAAATCTATTATGCAAGATACCATTTGGTTTTGGAAAAGCGACAAAGTAAGTCGAGTTATCAAAAAGAGGCTTGCAACCTCTTAGTCATGAATGTGGTGCGCTTCACACCCATAATTAAGAACTTACACGGACATAATTTCCAAAGATCTTGGCACATTGTCATTCAGATTGGAAAGATGCCTTCGGTGGAGACCAAAATTTTCTGGATGCGAAATTGAAACCGAGAACCCTAAGAAAAACCCACATGCCTTCTGATAGGGGTGTGGTTTGATTATCGTGGAAGTCGCTCCTCAGCTCGCGTCCTAAGAGTTTGACACTCCTCTTTGGACTATGTCCCAGTTCGCTGCTAAGAAAAAGTTCCACGTTGTGCTGCATCCTTTTTTATGTCGTCCGCACCTGTGGTTTGTTTTGAGAATTCATCCTCTCGGATTCTCTTGACAAAGACTCAGATAAAACTCATTAGCATAAAAAATGTAATTCAAATGGAGAGATAGTGTCTTTTACCGTGTTGACACATAATTGCTCTCCTTGAACATTTGACGTCAACTCTATTGGGTTTGACGTAAAGCAAATAAAATAGGCTGATGTAATACGTTGATAGTTCTCTTGATGTCGTTGTTGCAAAGCAAAATGATGCAGCCGATGTTTATCTTCTTGTGATGGGCAAATCTTTCTCTTGCGATGCATGACCCTTTTCCGCGATGCATGAATCCTTCTCTTGCTATACATGAATCTCTTTCCCGCGATGCATGACTTTTTCTCTTGTTATGCATGGTTTCTTCTTCTTGCTATGCATAAATATCTTTCCCGCGATGCATGACTTCTTTTCCGCGACGCATGAATCCTTCTCCTGCAATGCATGAATATCTTTCCCGCGATGCATGACTTTTTTTTCTCCTGCAATGCATGATTTATTTATCTTGTTATGCATAAATCTCTTTCCCACGATGCATGACCTCTTTTCCGCGACACATGAATCATTCTCTTGCTATGCATGAATCTCTTTCCCGCGATGCATGACTTCTTTGTCTTGCTATGCATAAATCTCTTTCCTGCGATGCATGACTTCTTTTCCGTAATGTATGAATCCTTCTCTTGCTATGCATGACTTCCTTCTTTTGCTATACATGACTGTTCTGCGATTCATGACTTCTTTCTCTTCCAATGCATGAATCTTTTGATGATGCCTTCTTGATATCGAACGAAGATAATGCTTTACCAAGCAGCATAAGTGATCTTCTAGGTATCTCTTGGATGGCGGTATCGTCTCAATCGACAAATAAAAATGACCCTTAGATTAATGGTATCATCTTATTCGACAATACAACATAAATGACTCTCTGAGCAGTAATATTATCATGTCCGATAATATAATGCAGATAATGCCCTCCAAGTATCTTTAGTTGTTGGAAAATAAATAAAATTTCTTTCTTTGAGTTTTCCTTTGCTTCATCTCCAAATATAATTTCATGTTCATTATAGACCTCGCCTTGTTGAGAATTTGAATGAAATAATGCTATTCATATTCCCAAGTCTTTGATATAAGAAACATAAAACATTTCCTGAATCTACAGAAAAATTGTCAATTTGGGGAGCTCCTCGCCTTTTTGACTTCTCCATATTCATTAAATTGAGGAATATGCTAATCTTGCGGCAAACCTATAGACCTACATCCACAGAAAAATTGTTAGTTTGAAAATAAATTGATCTGTGTCGATCTCTTCAGTTGTCTACTCTTTGCCTTACTATCTCCGGTTGATTTCTATGATCTCCTGGTTCTTGATAGATGACACAAAACATTTTTATGCAAAAATAATTGAAAAAGGTCGTTGCCAAGTGTCATGTCACGTCAAGCTTAATGAACGCCTTGGGAGTTGATGCCTCGAGATCTATCTGATTATTTGTTGGGAAGTATTCAAAGTTGCTTTAAACTGCCAAAAACCCTGTTGAAATTTTGAGGCCATCCTCAAAATTTCTGTCCCAGTCAACTGTCTTGGCTTATCTTTAACCGTTGGTAATCAAATCACAGAATTTTTGAGATTCTCTAAAAAAATATGTCTTAGTTGCAAATTTCAGAGTAACTTCAGTCTCGACTTTGTTGGAGAGATCTTTTCCTTGAAAATTTTTTAGTCCCTCTCAAAAAATTCTGTCCTAGTTTCTATTGTAAAGAAAAATAAAAATCTTACAGGAGATATGACCGAGTCGTTGTGACGGCTATGTATCCCATTGAGGTAAGAAGCAGGTCAAACATAGTTCCCCCTCTCGAGGATTAACAAAAATAGGAAAATTACAAACAAATCGACCGAGGCCGACATAGGCCGCCTACGTATCTCATTCTTAACAATTCAAGTCGAACGTAGTTCAAATACATAAGGATAGATTCTAAACAAAGCAATTACAAGCAAATAGAACGATTACAAGGAAATAACATAAATACAAACTGAAGCCTCACACATAGTATCTCTTGACAGCGTCTGACTTGATCGGTTTCGGCCATTCGGTGCCATCCATCTCCGACAGGACCAACGCACCTCCAAATAGTACTTTGCGAACCATGTAGGGTCCATGCCAATTTGGTGCAAATTTCCCTTTATATTCATCCTGGTGAGGGAAAATACGTTTGAGAACCAACTGACCAACCTCAAACATTCTGACTCTTACTTTCTTGTGAAAAAGCACGAATCATTCTCTATCAATACAGTTGTCCATGACAAACAACAACCATTCTCTACTCATCAATCATTATTAACTGATCAATTTGCTTGTGAACCCTTTCAGCATCACTCAATTCAGCTTCTTGGATGATTCTCAATGAAGGTATTTTAACTTCTACATGTATAACTGCTTCTGTTCCATATACTAGCAAATATGGACTAGCTCCAACTGATGTCCTGACAATCGTTCAGTAACCCAACAAAGCATCCGGCAGCATCTTATGACAACCTCTGCGATTATCAATCATTTTCCTTAAAATCTTCTTTATGTTCTTGTTGTCGGCTTCTACAGCTCCATTCATTTGGGGACGATAGGCGGTTGAGTTCTGGTGAGTAATCTTGAATTGTTCACATATCTCTCTCATCAAGCGACTGTTGAGATTTGCTCCGTTATCAGTAATGATGGATTCTGGCACTCCAAACCTACATATCAGGTTGTTGCGAACGAAATCAGCTACAACCTTCTTGGTCACCAACTTATACGAAGCTGCTTCCACCCACTTGGTGAAGTAGTCAATGGCAACCAAAATAAAAAAAATTCCATTGGAGGCGGCTGACTCTATTGGACCAATGACATCCATGCCCCAAGCTACAAACAGCCAAGGTGAACTCATGGCATTGAGTTCATGAGGAAACACTCGAATTAGATCTCCATGCACCTGACATTTATGGCATTTCTGCATAAACTTACAACAATCATGCTTCATAGTCATCAAAAAATAGCCAGCTCCGGCATGTATCTGTTCCAGAAGCTTTGCAGCTTCACTAGCATCAACATATCTGAGAAGACCTAAATCTGGAGTCCTCCTATAAAGGATTTCCCCACTTGCAAAGAAATTGAGGACCATACGACGTATCGACTTCTTCTGGTTGAATGTTGCATTCTCAGGATAAGCCCAGTTTCTAAATACTTTTTGATGTCAAAATACCAAGGCAAACCATCTGGTTTCGCTTCAACATGTGAACAATAGACAGGCTGCTCTTTTACCTCTATATCCAAGGGATCAATACAACTTGTATTCGGACGTTTAATCATTGAGGCAATGGCGGCAAGAGCATCGGCCAACTCATTCTGTGTCCTAGGAGTGTGTCTGAACTCGATCTTATGAAATCTTTTGCAGAACTTCTGTATACACTTCACATACGGTGTAATCTTTGGGTTCTTCACGGCCCATTTTCCTTGCACCTGATGAATTAGCAAATCTGAATCTCCAATAACCAGAAGCTCATGAACGTTCATATCAATCGCCATCTTCAGACCGAGGATGCAAGCTTTATACTCAGCCATGTAGTTTGTGCAATCAAATCGGAGTTTAGCCTCCATAGGATAGTGTTGACCGGTTTATGATACTAAGACTGCTCTGATTCCTTTCCCTTGGTGATTCGCCGCTCCATCAAAGAACACTCTCCAACCAGGGTATGCTTCAGAAATATCTTCACCCACAAATGCAACTTCTTCATTGGGAAAATAAGTCTTGAGCGGTTCATACTCTTCATCAACTAGATTCTCCGCAAGATGATCAGCCAAGGCTTGTGCTTTTATCGCCTTCTGGGTCACATACACGATGTCAAACTCACTTAAAAGCATTTGCCATTTAGCCAACTTCCCGGTCGGCATTGCTTTCTGGAAGATATACTTCAACGGGTCCATCTTGGAAATAAGGTATGTGGTATAAGAAGACAAATAATGTCTTAACTTCTAAGCAATCCAAGTCAAAGTACAACATGTCCTCTCGAACAGAGTGTAACGAGTCTCATATAGAGTGAATTTTTTGCTCAAGTAATAAATGGCTCGCTTCTTCTTCCCTATTTCAGCATGTTGACCAAGCAAGTATCCAAATGCGTTATTCGAGACTGATAAATATAGAAACAACGGACTCCTTTCTTGGTAAGGCTAGGCACCGGACCGGAATGGGACCACCAGATCGGAACGAACCGGTACCGGACCGGAATGGGACGATTTGATCGGGTTGTTGATCGGAACCGGGATGAATTGGACCGAAACAACCGGGATGGAGGCTCAGTTCTGTCCCGTCCCACTATATACCAGGATAAAATCGGGATGGACCAGAATGGAACGGGATGGGTTAAACGAGACGGCACATATAGCTATTTCAAAAACTAATTATTTTTTTGAGGTATTTTGAATTACGAAAATACGAATGTTTTTTTTATTTTTCTAAGTTATATTAGTTTATAGTATTTAAGTTTTAAAATTTATAATAATTTTACTTAAGTTTATTTTGAAGATATTTTTTTAAAATTTTTACGTATATAAGTTTGTAAGTTAGGTTTAATAAAGTTTTTTTAAAAGTTTTTGAGCTTATGTAGTTATGTTATAAGTTTTAAAGATTTGAATCTTTTGAAATTTATAAGTTATTAAGTTATACTTATAACTTGTAAGTTAAATAACTTAAGTTTGTAATTTTAAAAAATTAAATAAACAAAAACGAAATGCTAATAAAAGTGAATAATGACAAAAATATTATTTTTTATTTTAATTAAAAATGATTTACCGGGACCGGACCGGTACCGGAACGGAACCGGAATGAACTGGGATGAACCGGTACCGGTATACCGATACCAAATCATGATATCGTTCGGTTCCGTGTACCGATTCAATGTATCCCATCCCGTCCCAAATACTACCGGATCGGAACGGACCGGAATGGTACCAAAAAGGTACCGATACAACCCGTTTCGGTGCCCACCCATACTTCTCGCGGATTGAGTTATGAACCGGCTAATGTAGTTCAACCTTTCGAGAAAACTCATCACCTCTTTCTTGGTCTTCGGAGGAGGTAATTCTTGGATCGCCTTGATCTTGGAAGGGTCAAGCTCAATGCCCCTCCTGTTGACTATAAATCCCAATAACTTGCCAGCTGGCACTCCAAAAGCACACATGGCGGGATTTAACTTTCAAATTGTATCGGCGTAGATGATCAAAGAATTTCCTCAAGTGAGTCAAGTGATCCGAACTCTCGCAGGACTTGATTATGACATCATCTACATACACCTCGATCTCCTTGTGAATCATATCGTGAAAGATGGTCGTCATAGTCCTCATGTAAGTAGCACCTGCATCTTTATGATATACACCCAGAGTGTGATGAAAGCCCTCTTTTCTGCATCTTCTTCATCCATCAGAATTTGGTGATAGCCCGCATACCAATCCACAAATGACTGCATCTCATGCTTAGCACAGTTATCAATGAGAATGTGAATGTTTGGCAATGAAAAATTATCTTTCGCGATAGCTTTGTTGAGATCTCTATAGTCAACACAAATTCTGATTTACCGTCTTTCTTGGCAACCGAAACAACGTTGGCTAACCAAGTCAAATATTGCATCACTTCCACTACTTGAGACTCGATTTGTTTGGTAATCTCTTCTTTGATTTTTAAACTCAACTCAGGCTTGAACTTTCGAGTCTTTTGTTTTACTGGACTGAAATCTAGATTAATCGGCAGCTTGTGGGACACCATATTCGTACTCAGCCCTGGCATATCTCTGTAACACCAAGCAAATACATCAATATATTCTCTAAGCAAACGAACCAGGTATCTTCTTTAAGCTTCAGTCAGATAGACGCTGATTCTCACTTCTTTAACACACTCCTCATCTCCAAGATTCACAGTCTCGGTTTCTTCCAAATTCGGCTTGTGTTGATTCTCAAATTGTCGAAACTCTTCAGCAACATGTTCGGGTACCTCATTTTCTTCTTCGTATTCCTCGCATTCGTCATCACCTACCTCATTTCGTTCACTCGGTTCATGACATGACATGACATTGGCAAGTTTTAAATTAGTATTAGTGAAATCATAAATAAACAAAGTTAGGAAAGTAAAATGTAAACATATAAGTTAACAAAGTTTTGATAAAAGAGGCTTTCATTTAAATTGAAAAACAAGCACAAATTTTGGCCATGGCCAAGGGCCATTTTGCCTTTTTAAATATCACAGGGAAATTAAAAACTCAAACAAGAAAAAACTGCATAAATGGTGGGTCTCAAGCCTCTTCCGGACTACCACCGATTTAACAAACATAAATATGTGTCATTTCTACCAAGATGAACAGGGGATCAAAAGCGGCATGGAGGTCCAATTCTGCAACTGCTCCTCCGGCTTGGCATCACGAATTTGTGAGGTCCAAGCTTCATCCTCCATGACTGCGTTAACTTCTTCGAACATGCCCCATATTCCTTCCCCGAGACCACCATTGTTAACATATTCTCGCACCGGGAATGACTGGTACAGATAAGGAATTGTCCTAGCCAATGTTTGGTCAACACTCTTGTTCTTCATCTCTGCTTCGTCATCTGTTGGGACATATCCCAAACCAAATTTCGCTCTTTTGGCAGGGGTATGAATAGGCCCGACAATTCCTTGAAAGTTCTTGCCCAATCCAAAACTTAGTTCGAAACCATTCTGGAGCATGAAAGTTGCAATCATCTTGTACACGGAAGGCATAGGGGGTTGTGGGGCTAAGTTATCACCGGTGGCATTTACTAGCTCCACCGTGTAGAAATCACAACCTTGAGAAATATCATCAACGATCGGTGCATACCCATTGTAATGGCTCCATTCACCATAAATGACCAATTCCTGGTCCTTCCAAACAAATTTCATTAGTTGGTGAAGGGTGGAAGGCACAACCCCAACCATGTGGATAAACGGTCTTCCCAGAAGCAAATTGTAGCTGGTATTGATGTCCAACACCTGAAACTCCACATTAAATTCCGCAGGACCCACCTGAATATCCAAGTTTACTGCACCCAATGTGTCTTTTTTCACTCCATCAAAAGGCCTAACATTGACTTGGTTCTGGTGAAGCTTTCTAGGGTAGGGGTGGAGTAATGGAGGGACTTTGGGCATTTTGAGTGGCTTGGTAGTTTTGAGGGAAAGTTTGGGGGTTGGTATGCTAATTTTGGTAATGAAGGGAAGTGTGCGGGTTGTTAACGTTTTTGTTTTGAGGTGGTGGACCAGTTTGGAGGTTTGCATTTTGGGGAGGAAGTGGCACTTGTAGGTTGGTGTTTTGAGGAGGGGGTGGTGTCTGATAAAAGGCAGAGGCATAATGGGGATTTTGGGTGGTTAGGTCGATGATTGAGGGATTCTGAGCAGGATTAGAGGGTGGATTTTGAGCCTGTTCTGCATTCGGAGGAAAGTGAAGTGGAGGCCTTCCGTCTGCTAGAGCATTGAAAGAAAAAACCGAATTAGGCAAATCTTGCCTTCTCTGCATCTCAACCCGCTTCTCAGCGATCTGTTGCATCAACTGCACGATTAACTCATTCTGATCGGCGATGATTGGTTGAGTCATAACAGCATCTGTTAAGCCGATATCCTCAATGTTATCGCCTATTGTTGACTTGCCCTTCCGAGAACTTTGACCGGTGAAGGAATCTATAGGGCCTTTTGATCTTGTAAAATAGGGGTGTTCAACCAACTTATCAACACAAATCAGTTCTATCTACCTGTAGAGGAAAACAACTCACAGGCAAATCTTTTAGTTTTGATTCAGGACAAATAATGCAAAATATCATAGAAAGCATGTAAACACATAAAAGTCGCTTCGTTTGAGTACACGATAACCCACGAGTAATGGGGACTAATTTTTTGAACAAGCAGGAATTTGCTCATTTTATTTTGAGGCTAGTGACTGAGAAAGGTTAAATTGTGTTGAGCTAAGGTCTTCTTGTTGCATCTTTCGGCATCTGTTGATGTGAATTCAATGTTTCTTTGTAGAATAAAAGAGGGGAAAAGAAAATTTTAAAAGATAGGGACCGAGCCTTGAAAGGCTGCCTACGTATCTCCTAAGGAGAATTCAGGTCCTACGTAGTTTGAATACAAAGGAAAATTTCATTTTCATTCATTCATTTCTATTGATTACAAAGAAAGTGAAAAATAGATAATAAAGCTCCTAATAGATAGATAGTGCCTTCATCAAAGCTTCTTCTTTCGATTGTCACATTAATCACGGGGGGTAAACTCTTATGCTTTGAGGGTGATTTTCTCATTCCCTTCTTTACACCGTCCCTGGAGAGGGGGCCTATAAACAATTTCCTCCCCAGTATCTTCTTTAGTAGCTCCAACGTGAGTGTCTTCGGGACCACTATCGGCTTCTTGATTGAAGAAAAAGCATTTTCCATGTATTTTCTGAAGCCTCATGGTTATATCATTGTTGAAGACATCATGTTCCTTCCGCATAGCAACCGTCTCCTCGTTCATGATAGCATATCTTGACATTTTAGCCGCTAACTCCGCGTCTAGTGCTGCACTTTTGGCCTGTGCA